TTTTATTTAGAAAAAAATCTCAATTCGACCCGCGTATCGTGACCCGAATACTGGGCCGACTCAGTTCGGTCCACGGGTCGATATAGTTAAACTTGGCCCGAAACTTGAAATTCAATAGTCCAACGAGTTTTAAAAAACAAATATAGATTTTATTTGAAAAAAATCCCAATTAGACTAGAGTATTGTGACCCGGTTACTGGGCCGACCCAATTCGGCCCACGGGTCGATCCAGTTAAACTTAGCCCAAAACGTGAAATTTTATAGTCCAACGAGTTTTAAAAGATAAATATAGATTTTATTTGAAAAAAATTCCAATTCAACCGCGTATCGTGACCCGGTTACTGGACCGACCCAATTCTGCCCACGAGTCGACCCAGTTAAACTTGGCCCAAAACGTAAAAATTTACAGTCCAACAACTTTTAAAATACAACTGTAAGTTAGAAAATTTTTAATTTTAAAATTGAAGTAATTTTTTTATTGCAAAAAATGGAAAATTTGTAAATTAACACAATAAAAACAAAAACAAAAAAAGTCATGACCCGCAGGTCAAAAAATTATATTGGCTCAAAATGAGTAATTGACCGGCGGGTTGACCCGCAATCCGCCCCAAACCGTCTTGACCCAACCCGTGCGGGTTGGGTTGGGTCTTGACCCGTCTCTGTGAAACCCATTTTGACCCAACCCGCCATCGATCCAACCCGTCCAGCTGCCAGGCCTACTTAGAGCATCTGCAGCGTGAGGCAATTCTTCAAAATTGCTACAGTTTTTGGTGAAAGAGGCCTCCAACGCTGCACCAAATAAGCAAATCCAATCAGCAAATTGGTCCAACGCTACTGTAGCAGCAGCAAAAACTGCACGTCCCTTCTCCTTTTTTTTTTCCCTCTTTTTTTTGGTTATTTTTAAATTAATTTTTAAGCCCCTACAATTATATTTTTTGTCACTATTTATGCAATTAAAATTATAGAAACTTAATGAATTATCTTAATTAAATTTATTTGTATTTTCCAAGAGCTCCAATTATTATACAATTATTATAAGTAAATAATAATTGATGTAATGTTGGAATAAAAATAAAAATTCTCATAATCAAATAACATTAAGGTAAATAAAACAAAAATACATCATATTAGAGCAAATTAAATTAACATTAAAGTAAATAGAACACAAATACATCAATCTTAGAACAACCAAATTATTATATGGATAATCCTATTGATGTTATTGGGTTTTTATTTTAAATGTAATATTTATTTTGCATTTGTTTATTTGACAATGTATTTTATTCATTTATGAGAGTATATGAATTTCATTTTTAGTTATTAATCGATTAACACAAAAATTAAAATTTATTACTCGATTGATATTAAAATAATTTTTTTCATATTGAATAGATATTTGATTCCAAAATTAAAAAAAAAATTATTTTGGTTAATGTATAAAACAAATAATTTAATTGGGTTGTTTTGTAAATTAGTAAAGAATGATATGAAAATGAAATATATAAGGAATATCCCATTTCGATGTAAAAATTGGTGTTGTGGGTTGAAGAAAACAACACTGTAAAAAGCAGCAAAACAACAAATCTGATTATTTGGTGTGCAGCAAATTGATGCAACATTGTAGTAGCTCTTATACTACTTATTATAAAATCAGTTTACTGAACCGAAACTTTAGTTTGTTTTTCAAATGCAATTGTCATGCTTAGTTTGTTAGAGTAATTTCCCCAATCGAATTAGTATCACACCGCAGTAATGATTTTCTTTTCCTGTAACTTTATCCAATTCCTTGAAATAAGATTAAACTGAAACCCTTTGGTTCTCAAAATTTTCTTTTTAATGTTCAACAATTCAAATTATCACACAACTTGCTCGAGTGAGACTGCAAATTTCATACTCCAATTACGGTTTAATACCGCCAATTGAAGCATCATAAAACAATTAAAAACATGTTCAAGTCCACAACTCGCCATCTGTTTAATACTCCATCTGTCTCAAAATTATTATCCAACTTAGAATTTTAATTCTAGTTCTATTTATACTAAAAATAGAAGTTCAAACTGGACAAATAATTTCGAGACACACAGAATAATTCCAATACTTTGTTTCGTATCTTTGATGTAAACAGATTTCAAAGAAATATTTTCCATCTAGTACTTCTAAACCAAAAGAAGAAAACCTTGGGCCTCAATTACAAAAAAAAATTATACTCATTCCGTCTCATAAAAATAGTTCAGTTTTAAAATGTACAATATTTTTAATTTAATCAACCCTCCAAGGTAACACTCATAATTATTCTAAGAACTTCCAATATTACCCCGATTATTATCACATGAATCAGCAGCACCAGTTTATTCTCAGTTTCTCTCTTTGCATGCCAGAAAAGTTTCTCTCTTTCAATCCCACACACCGACAAGGCAAGCAACCGCCGGAGACTACAACGATTACCACACACTCAATCACATAATTCACCACTAATCAACGCTTTTTCCGATTGGATCTGGTTCGCATCATATGAATCGGAGATGGAAGACCTCAGATCTGGTCCGCATCGTATTAATCGGAGTTGTCTGGTTTGAAAAAATATGCTCTTAATACTAATCATTGTGTGAGGATAATTTCCGATGAAGAAGTTAATTCCGACGAATTGAAACAGGATTGTAGGTGGTTTTTAAATCCATCATCGCCATTGTTGGGCTTTCTTTGGTAGTTTTGCTTGCATAGTCAATAGAAGGGGGACAGTGAAATGAAGAAGGCGAGCACAGTGTACTATCTCGGAATTATATGAGATAGAGTCTTGAAACCCATGCTAAAACATGATAATAGATGGAGGTGGCGCCGGCCAAAGGAAAATCGGGGAGAAATCAGTGAAGGGGGTGGCGCCGGTGGTGGGGAAAATCGCAGAAATCAGAAACGGGGAAAGATGACCGGTGGACTAAGTGTAAATGTTAGGGATGTTACAGTCATTTTCTCTAATTTAATTTTGACTTTTTTAAAACTGGACTATTTTTTTGGGATAAAAATTTTTATCAAACTGGACTATTTTTGTGGGATGGAGGGAGTAATAATTAAAAAAAAAAAAGGTAATAGTATTTCTTATACAATTAACGGATTATAATGTACACTTATTTTAATAAAGGGAGTGGCAAACTTGATTTGGAAGGCTAGTATTACGCTATGGGTGTATTTCCATTTCTCTCTGCTGATATAACAATTCTACTGTACTTTTGCAATGAAGTCGCGACTATGCCCATTTTGCAGTTTTCTTTTTTTTTTCTTCAGTCTAGAATCAGAATGTCTTCTTCATCTCATATACTCCCGTTATTCCTATAGTCTACAGTTATTTTTAATCTCAGACAATGATTCCAGTAATTAATGGGTCATATTAGGGCTCTAAACAACCACATTCATATAATATACTGTTGACATATTCAAAAGGCCTTATTAGCGTTGTTTTCATTAACAGAAATGGTTCATTGTGCAATCTAAAGCGGAAATTTACATCAAAGTTAACCATGTTTCAAAAAGAAATTTTCCCTTAAAAGCTAATGAACGAACCATGTCCCAAAACATGAAAATTTTCCTCGCTAATACCGCAGAATAATAGGGGTATATAATAAAAGAAACATAAATTAATTTTCCAAGAGATTTTAATCAAATAGGCTCATTTTTTCGGACCAGCATTTTATATATACATACATATATATATATATATACATATATATATGTAGATATCATGTTACTAGTGAGTAAACAATTATTTGTGCTCTAACATTTATATTTCTATAACCATGTCTTCTTTGTCTTCTTTTTTAACATTGATATAAATGCGATATTAATTATGTTTTGACAATACTTTTTTGTCTTCCTTTCTTTTTGAACTAGACAAAAATATCTTTACGTCTTATAATAGAAATATAGTTTGTTTTTTTTTTTTTCTCCCTTTTACTGGCGCAACTTTCTAACATCAAAGTAGTTGCGAGTTGCGACTCAACAGTAGATGAAGGCTGTGTATAAGACAGCTTTTAATTATTAAATTCTTATGAACATAAAACCTTTCCAAACATGCGTTTGTAGTCCAACGGTTAGGATAATTGCCTTCCAAGCAATAGACCCGGGTTCGACTCCCGGCAAACGCATTTTGGCTCAGCTTTGAAGAACAATTGAATGACATGAATTTACCATTGCACCCCCGTTTCAGTTTTGGCTTTTCAGTCTGTATTTATTCATTTTTATTTTCTTTTGCCTGCAGTTCATCTTTGGTGAAATGCATCTTTATGCATACGTAGTCTCCTATTTTACTCCCCATCGCTTTTTGATGAAAATATTTTTTTTTTCTTTTTGGTAAGAAAAATATGATATTCCATATAGAGACAGTCTTTGAGTATGTTACGATATTTTTTAGTGTGTTTTTTTTTTTGTATCATTTTTTAAAAAAATCCACTTTAGTGGATCTTAATTAAATACAAAATCCCCATTTACATATATCCTTTTGTGATAATTTTGAACCAGATGTAATATTAAGATATATAATACCCTAATACCTTAACCACTAAACTATCATTCAATTTTTTTTTACTATTATAATCTAAAAATGTACAATAAATAGATTTTCTAAAACCAACTCCACTTATATATTTCTAATTGAAACCTCTCGTCTCAAATCAGAAGACGTATTGATATATTTTTGTTACTCAATAGAAAATAAACCTTTGTTTATGACCAAAAAGTCAAAACAACAACGATTTGGAAGGGAAAAAATTAACATTTTCATAATTACTCTAGTTGTAAAGAAAATTTTTATTTATGACAAAAGAGTTATAGTATGTCAATATTAAGAGAGTTGTACCAAAAAATAGAAAAAATATTTATAATAGTAAATGTCATTGTTTACTTGAAAAAGCAATAAATTGACCAGAATGACCAGAGTCCAAAATAAGTCATCAACTAAAAAGACCATTTCAAAGGCCAAAATTGTCATTTAAACAAATCAGCCTCACTTCCTCTCATTTTCCTTCTGTTTTGCGACCGCAACCCTATATATAAGCAGCAGACCAGCCTTCCTAAATAGTGTTGACTAAAAGTCATTAAGACAAAAAGAAACCACAGTGCTTCAAGATGGGTAACTGTAGCGGCTTACCTTCTCACCAATCGAACTCCGCCACGTCATCGTCAGCTGCTCAATCTAAGCCTCCGACGACGGCGACGACCACCAACGGCATCAACGTCCTCCCTTCCGACCACCCTGCTCCTCCCCGTCCTCTCTCCGGCATCGGCCGTGTCCTCGGCCGCCCCATGGAAGACGTCCGTGAAACCTACATTTTCGGCAAGGAGCTCGGCCGGGGCCAGTTCGGCGTCACCTACTTGGTCACGCACAAGAAAACGGGGGAGAAATTCGCGTGCAAGTCAATCGCCAAAAGGAAGCTTTTGAACAGAGACGATGTCGAAGATGTCCGCCGGGAAGTTCAGATCATGCACCATCTCACCGGTCACCGGAACATCGTGGAGCTCAAAGGCGCGTTTGAAGATCGGCAGAACGTTAATTTGATCATGGAATTATGTGCTGGCGGAGAGCTATTTGATCGGATTATTGCCAAGGGGCATTACTCGGAACGCGCCGCCGCGGGGGTGTGCCGGCAGATGGTCACGGTGGTGCATTACTGTCATTCAATGGGTGTAATGCACAGGGACTTGAAGCCGGAAAACTTCTTGTTTTTAAGTACAGATGAAGATTCACCTCTGAAAGCTACTGATTTTGGCTTGTCCGTCTTCTTTAAGCCAGGTACTACTGCTATATCGTTCTTATTATGAATTGGGGATTACTCGGAGACTAACGAGTTATCCGTAATGTTGAAGTGTTATTACTGATTTACATTTCGAGAAACGTGTCATATCCTGTTTTGGGGTAAATCAAACGGCACATTTCGTTTGCTCCTACATTTTCTTTTGTCTTTTAGATATAGTCTGTCTCTGTTTCTCTCTGTAATTTATACTTAATGTTAATATGTTTTCTCTCCTTTGGAATGAGACGCAAATATTGGCAATGTGAGAGATAACTTCCATGGTGATTGTAATTTTGGATATGCGTGTCCGGTAAAAACGGCCTTGTCGATCATAACCAAAAAACAAAAATTATCAGTGCTCAAGCTTTCGTTTTAGAAATGCTAAAAACACTGGTAATCCGGATGCTTAAACTGCAGAAAGTAGATTTGTGTTGATTCTGGTGCTTCTAACTGAATAATAAGCATTAAAGCGTGTTTCTTTTAGGTTCTTTTTTTTTTTTTTTCTTTTTTTCGTTGGTTTTTCTAGACAATTCAATCCTGTTAACTCACTGAGTATAATATTACAGTTCTGGCTTACACATATTGCCTTTTGCAGGAGATGTCTTCAAAGATCTTGTTGGAAGCGCATATTATGTGGCCCCAGAAGTGTTGCGCAGAAGCTATGGAGCTGAGGCTGATATTTGGAGTGCCGGAGTGATACTTTATATTCTGTTAAGTGGTGTACCACCATTTTGGGGAGGTAATGGACCCCCCCTGTATTAATTAATAATTATAAGTGATGTTCAACATCTTACTTGCACTGCTGTGTTATTGAAGATGTCAGTTACTGAAAATTTTCGCACTGAAACCAGTATCCTTTGTGCCTGTTGATTTGATTCAGCCATTTTTTCATTTTAATAGGTCAGCAAGTTTATTAAACACTTTTAGAGTCTAGGATATCATTGTATTTGACATCATCGACTGTGAAACAGTCATCATTGCAGCTGTCATGTATGTGAAGAGCATAGTAATGCATGTCTCATATTAAGTTGGGATAAATCAAGTGTGAGCCACTATCTAGCCATCCATCCCCCTTTCTATGCAATAACTTGTTTGTCAATCTTTGCCCCATGCTGATGACCTATGATGTTTTTATTCACAGAAAATGAGCAGGGCATTTTTGATGCCATACTGCGGGGACATCTTGATTTTTCATCGGATCCTTGGCCATCTATATCCAGTAGCGCAAAAGATCTTGTGAAGAAGATGTTGCGTGCAGATCCTAAGGAAAGGCTGACTGCAGTTGATGTTCTAAGTAATTTTCAGCTCTGATTATTTTGCTAGTAAATTCTCGTGGATACATGATTTTTTATTGCACTTTTGTTTTAGGTCATAAAAAGATGCATATCTCACCACATGCTTGAATTAATTTTTTTTTCCTGTGTGTTGAATTAACAAATTAAGATTTTTATTCATAAGAATGCAGTAATTTTGTATGCACATAGATTACAAGGTACCAGAAACATATAAATGTTGAAATCTAATCAAGAGCTGCCTCGCTTCTGTGGTTGCCTCACATTCCGATATTTTCAGGTCTTTGTTTAAGATATGCTCCCAAAGTTATATATCTTTGTAAATAGCAGTAAGCCAAATGCAACTAGTGCCCTCAGCAATATAGAGCTGCTAGTTTCCACATTTTCGTTTATTCTGTTCTCTCATCATCAATTGGGATAAAGGGCTAACGATTGAGTATCTGCAGACCATCCATGGATGAGAGAAGATGGTGATGCATCTGATAAGCCGCTTGACATTGCTGTCTTGACTAGGATGAAGCAGTTCCGTGCTATGAACAAGCTCAAGAAAGTTGCTCTCAAGGTGAGGAAATCTTTCCCTTTGGGTTGAAAATGCTGTATTAGACTTGTTTCCTAGAGGCTTACTTTGTCTTCTCGAACAGGTCATTGCTGAAAATTTATCTGAAGAGGAAATTATTGGCTTGAAGGAGATATTCAAATCCATGGACACAGACAATAGTAATACAATAACTTTTGAAGAGTTAAAAGCTGGCCTCCCCAAATTAGGAACTAAGCTTTCAGAATCAGAAGTGCGGCAGCTGATGGAAGCGGTAAGCATTGGCTTTTCACAGAATTCTCCTGTGATGTTTTGCTGTGTCTGGATTCCTTGGCATTGACATGATATTTTAATGGCTTAATTAGTAAATTTTACTTGGTATGTTACAGGCTGATGTGGATGGAAATGGAACAATTGATTACATTGAGTTTATTACAGCTACAATGCACTTGAACAGAATGGAAAGAGAAGACCACTTATATAAAGCCTTTGAGTATTTTGACAAAGATAAGAGCGGGTAAGTTTCCTTCAAAAGGTTTGTTGGTGTTTGATACCTCAACTTGTACATAATCTTTGCTCTGATGTCAATTAGGTACATCACAATGGAAGAGTTGGAACAGGCCCTAAGAAAGTACAATATGGGCGACGAGAAAACAATAAAGGAGATCATTGCAGAGGTTGACACAGATAATGTATGTACTCTTTCTCCTCTGTAATACAGCAAGAACCGTCTGACAAACTCGGCAAACCTATTTAACATGACTTGCACTGTTTCATTGGCCGCACAGACGATTGTGATTCCTTCTTGGTTTTAAAGTATTCTCTAATGATGATGGCTTCTCATTCATTGCAGGATGGAAAAATTAATTATGATGAGTTTGTGGCAATGATGAGGAAAGGAGATCCAGAGCTGGCGCAGAATAGACGTAGGAAGTAAAGCTGAAAGAGGATCTATCTGTTCGAAGCATATACAGGTTGTAACAACAGTTAATGGAGTTAATTGTTGATCTACATCTTTCTAAACTTGCTGCATCTTGGCATTTTGCTGGCACCCCAAAATGGAACAGAACTTGCCTGTTGAGGATTCTTGCTCTTTTTCCTTGTCTACTTTGCATTCAAGATTGAGAAATTGCACTAGGCCTAGAGTATACAACCGCACTCTCAGCTTATGATATCCATCAATACTTTTTTCTGCAGTTTGCAGATTGCATATAGTGATTATAGTCGGAAATGCTTTTCTATTTTCTGAGTTTTGTTTTGAAAATTTTACTGCAATGATGCTGCCAAAAAAACCCGTAAATATGCTTTATAATGTTGATGCGAGACATTGAAATGTCTAAATGTAAACCTTTTTTTTTTTTTTTTTGAAATTTCAATTACATTGAATAACATAAAAGTTACAGGAAGCATTACAAAAAACTCTCATTCTTGCTAATAAATAACTAGCTAGCAGTCACAAAGTAATGGGATAATGAACATCACCAGGCAATCTTCCAAAGTAGTTTCACAGCCCCTACCTGGATGTTATCCCCTAAACTCATAGTACACAATCTATCTTTTTCTAAATTAATTGCCAACACACATTCTGCAGTCATAAGTTCTGATTATTATTAGCAAGGATAACAAACACCATTATTTCTGTTGTTCTATGAATATTTCCAGATTCCGGAAAGATGATGCTATTTGTTTTTTTTTTTTTTAATCATTACGTCCTCAGATTACAGTTAATCAAGTTAGTCAATGAAATCAATTCCATAATCCATTACCACTTGATGAATTGCATGAAGTTGACCAATTAATAAGAGTTGACTATGATAAAGATATACTTGATGAAGCTAAGGCCACCACGCATTGAATCTAACTAATAATCTGCACTGATTGGTAAATTTACTAAAACATTACCCGCCCCCAAAAATGATTTATGTTTGTAGAACTAAAAGTTACTAATAGGGTTAAAAGGGCTCGTAGTAATGATACTAGTACATTTTAAAGAATTCTCTCTCTCTCTCTCTCTCTCTCTCTCTCTCTCTCTTTTTTTTTGTTGGAATATTACAATTTAGGCATGTGAAGTCGCTACACGATTAATTAAGATTCTAGTTTAATAAAATCTTGAGTTGGCCAATCTTACTTTTTTTTTTTTTAAAAGCACCTAAAAAAAATTGGAAGACCACCACCAATCTGTTACTACTATTCACCAAGGTATTTTTCCTCTGTGTTTGTGTGTGTGTGTGTGTGTAAAGCTTAAAATATATCCTCAACATTTTGGAAGTTTTCACTTGTGTCGCTATTAAAGTTACTTGGAAGAGGAAGTCATCCACTCATTTCTTCACGAAAAGGATTACCGTGTGGAAGAATGACAATCAATCACACAATTTTAGTAAGTCCTCAACCAATAAGGAAGCTTAAATTACAGAAAATATTTGCTTGCTTTGCCAATGGGAAGTGGCATCAGCAAAGTTTGACACACTTTCCACCATTGTTATGGCAAAGAAGAATGTGGCAGCCATACATCACTAAACCACTAAACAAAACAAGCAAAACAAGTGGACAGTAAGTTAGCAAATGGCCCCTCCACTTCTGGAATGACCCTGCTTTTGGCCTGCGGATTTCATTCCCTCTTTTAGCAGAAGAGACATCCTGGAATTGATCAAAATTGGCTCCTGGCAAAACCTGGTTGACTTGATCCTTCCTGATTCTGTGCAACTTCATGAATGAAAGGTCTAATGAATCCTGTTCAAGTTTTTCCCTTAACTTGAGAACCCTAATCATGGTTCGGCCGAAAGCGAAGAAATTCTGAACAGCTGCTAGGAGTGATAGGATGAAAGGTATCCACCAGTGGTGGCAAGTGAGAGATGTCGCGGTGGCGGTTGACGTTAAAATCACGGCCTGGAAGATGAAGTAAAGGTTGACATTCTGGGCTGCTTTTGTCTCCAGCTTCCTGATTCTTTGCTCTTGTTCCCTAATTGATTCATCCAGTTGGTTAATGTCCCTTTGGATTGAAATTGGTTGCTCAGGAACAGGATGAACTATTTCATCCATCGCTTTCTCTCGCAATGAAGGTGCTCTGTGTGTTTCTCTCAGTGAGAGTGTGAGTGTGTGTGTGTGTGTGTGTGGTTTATACTTGCAAACAAGCAACCTCTCTGAGCCTGAGGCTTTTAATGGGGAAGATGTTATCTGACTTTTCCAAAGTCAAATGAAGAATCAATGCATATCTGCAGTATGTTAATTGCTGGATGAACAGAACAGTGAACTGTGAATACCATCCTAAGCAGGGAAAAATGGGGAACCACTGCTTAAATTCAAGACTTTTAATAATATCCTTATCCCTTTTACAAATTTGACAATGATGTGTTAATTTCTGACCCCCCTTTTTTTTAATCAAGGAATGTTGTTTACTTAACAGAAGAAAGAAAGGTGGAAATGGGACAGAAATGAAAAAAATGTAAGTAATTCTGGACCAAATCCCACCCCTACACGTTGGTTCTTCATTACTATATAGTGTAGGGAAAAAAAAAAAAAAAGACAACACAATAGCTGGTTCTGTCCTGTGAACAAGTGTTTCATCCTTGATTGATCACCAGAGAATTTGCATCCTTTTTTTTTTCTGCCAACAGGCTGCAGTTAGAAATGTTGGGAAATCGACTCTGCTCCGCGCATACTGGGGTTTTTCAACACTGAAATTCTTCATTAAAAAAAACCAGTCATGCATAAACCACGGGAAAAGAAAACTGAGCATACTTGTTGCTACACCTTATTGACAATGTCCATTGTGAAATCTAAACTTAGGATTCTCCTAACATCATGCATGATGCGAATAAGCGGGTCATCAAGATAAGGCTTGGCTACTAAAATGTTCACATTCTTAGTCTTCTTATAATAATCCCTCCGTATTATAATCGTTTTAGGGAGAATATCAAACAAACAATTATTTTGGGACGGATGTCAAACAAGATAATTATTATTTTGGAATAGAGAGAACACCATATGCATAATTTAGTTTTAGTATTTACATTTCAATCCTCCAGCAATTCGCATCTTAGAACACATCAATGACTCATCTATCTTAACTAATCTTTATAAAAATTCAATCATATATTAGTATATTACCACTAGTGGAAACTTATTCTTAAAAATGCCTCTTGAGATAGAAGGACAATAGTGGGGTGAAACCAATAGAAAATTGAGTAAGGAAATTTCTCTCTACCTTCCTTATAGTAGTATAGTAGCCTAAATGACTGGCTACTATTATTGTTAGTACGTTCTTTATAAAGTTAATTCACAGCTACTTTCCCCAAAAGTCTCAAGTCTCAACAACTGGGAACAGTTGTTAAAATGGTCCTTCAAATATCAACTTTGATTTTTATCTCCCTAAAGTTTTAGTTTCGAAGATAATCCACTCTCAACTCAACAATCAAATTAATTCCCCCATATTTGCGTAGTTGTGTCACCAAGATGGTTGTGAGTCAAGCTGAGACGGTGGGAGTAAATGGAATGCTGGTTCGAGCAATGAAGGAGATGTTGTGAAGACCCTGTAATGTGAAGGTCAGATATGAATGTAGAGAAACTAATTTTGTGGCGGACTGCTTGGTTTCTTAAGAGACAGTAAGTTCAAAAGGATATCATAGATTAGATGATCGTCTAAGTATCATTAAATTATGGTTAATGCATGATATAGTTGGTGTTTCATACTCGGTAGTACCACAACCCTAAACCTCGGCCTCCTCTTTTGTATCAAAAAAATAATAATAATAATTTCTCCAAATTTTAATGGACAAGTTTATATTCTTCAAAGGAGGGATGGGTCAAAACTACAATTTCTCAATCAAATCTTACGATATATCTTTTCTTTTCATTTATATGTTATTATTGTTTAAAAATTGGATTCACACCAATATAGTTTGAATTTTTAATATCGTAATAATAACAATTTATTCTTATCATCTCACTTTATACCAAATTCCAACATATCTTTTCCAAAGTTTGATCTAAAAAAAAAAGTAAATTTGGATATGTTAAGAAGGTTTAGATGAAGAGAAAATAAAATAGAAGGAAGAAAATACGGGAGAATCACTTTGTCGATTCTACGATTGCACGAGTATTATTGGAAACAACTATATATACTGGATTAACATTTGCACAGAGTTGAAGGAGTAGTATACAAATTTCACACACATGAATGTACTCGATGTAGAAAAATCCAACCTGGCCAAAACGTCCTTTGCTTAGACCACCAGATTCCAATAGATACTTTCCTTTCCACTTCGTCCTCATTCCTCAACCGTCAAAAAACGCCAACTTGATTACCGCGAAATTAAATAAATAAATAAATAAATAAAAATACGTAATAGATTTGGGGGAAAATTTTCCCAGAAAAATCCCCAAAAAATAAGAACGCCATTCCTAGGGTTTCTAATTTGGGTGATAGTGAAGGAGCAAGGAAGGGGGAAAAAAAATGCACAGAACCAATGTATACGATCATTGCTCAAGCTCCTGATTTGAGGGCTCTTAATCTGAATCATCACCGCCGTCTTCCTCCTCCTCCTCCTCGGATTAATCTCATGCTCAGCTCCGCCTCGTTAAATTGCGCCCGCCTTCAAAGACCTTTGCCCTTCCTTTCAACTCCTCGGAATTCAAGGGTTCCGAAATTAAGTCTAGAAATCAAATCCTTAGCTCCACTCACTCATAGCTTACGAGTTTCCGGCCATCATTGCCGACCCGTTAAGGTAATTTCACAGTGCTACTTAATTACTTCCCTCCGTCCGAAATGATTGTCCAGTTTTCATTTTAATTCAAATTGTATAAAAGTGAAAATCCATTCTGGGCAATAATTTTGGGCTAGAGAGAGTATTAGTTTTTCTTCAGTTTTTTTGGTGTTTTATTTGTGTTTATTGTGATTGGAACGTGTGTGAGTTTAAGTTAATTGGCTCTGTTCTTGTGTGTGTGTGTGTGTGGAGTAACGATTTCCGGTTACATATGTGTTGTGATATTGATTGTTTTGGGAGTTTTGTTGCAGAAATGGAAAATCTCTTGCTTCAGAAATGATGATTCGGCTGGGACAAATCCAGAGTCCATCGAGGACGGGATGCTACGGGAAGAATTGCAAAAATCGGAATGTGAAAACCCAAATGCTGCGGGAAAAAATTGGACTTCAAATCTCAAAGTGGTAATATATTATAGTCCTTTATTAGATATTCAGCATAATTGTATCATCAATTTGTTATGATACTCAGTTTTTGATGGTTAATGCTGCACTGGTATTAGGATTTTGTAAGTGGTATTATGATGGACCAATATTTTGTTATTTGGAAAACTTGGATTTTCTTCTCTTTAATTGCTGAGGTCGATGTTATTCTTATGGAGCATCGCATAGCTAACTAACTTCATAAGGTGCTCAAGTTCGTTAAACTTTCCAAGTGGAGACTATTTGTTATCCAATAGCTTTTTATCATTCTGGATTAGTTTCTTAATTAGTGTAATTTACTATGCAATACACTTGCATTTTGTTTCAGGTTTTAGAACGTATAGGTTTTTGTATGTGTGGGAGCGTACTATCTCTGTTTTAATTAATCGTAACAGAATGCACGATTCATTTTATTGGCCTTGAGCAGTAGACATGCCTGTTTCTCCCATTGTCAAACTTATTCAACACTTCTATCCCATATTGGGGAAAGCTTGATCTGATGGGTCTCTTGTTATCTTCTTTTTCGTTTCAGTTTACAGATGCTGTGCTGGGAGTCTTTGGAAAGCCTTGGGCTGTTCCTTGGACGGCAGATACCATCGTACAGGTGATCTATTACTGTTTGACCATTATTCACTGCATGACCCCATTATATTAGCACCCTTTTTCAGGCATCATAATGTGTTACCTGAAGAGAAGTAACTTGGGAAAATTTTCTTTGATGTGCATGAAAGCTCAGAGCTGAAATTTTGAGCCTGAACAACAAGGAGGACTTTAATTTCTACATACTGAAACTACTCCTTTCATGATAGCCTTGCAGTTTAAATATCTGAATCTGAATTAATCTTGTAACAGTTGCCATTAATTTGGTTGAAAACATTAAGCATGATTAAGCATGGGAAGTCAATTTTCCAGGCAAAGTCTTAGAAGTAATATTACGTAAATTTGGGCTGAATATTACGTAAATTTTTTGAGTTTTTCCACAGTAAGGAGTTATAGTTCTTTTTGGACCCCGCAGTACATCAGTTTCGCCAATTGCAGTGTCCACGTAGCTCAGCTGTTTCTCTATGTAGTCCGTTTGCCTTCCTTCTACCCTGATCCTACGTAACTTTTTTGGCTTTGATAATACTATGCTGATTGTGGTTTAACTGAGCTTGTAATCCTGAATGTTTTGACTTGTTTCACTACATTTGTAGTTTGATGATTTCCTCCATGCTGATGTACATGTTTACTCCCTGTTGTCTTTCAACCTTGGAGAGTTGTGAAAGTTGCCAGTTGATATTCTTTCAATGAGAATGTGACAGCACCATATCTGTTATCTGGATTTGTGTTTTGTCATGCAGGTTACACTCCTTTGGGTTGTCTCATTCTGGTTCGTAGGCAATTGGATGATTCCATTTGCAGCTCACATGGTGGGATTCAACAAGGAATCATTGACTTATAGAGGACAAGCTCTGTTCAGTCTTTTAACTGATGTTGCCGAAGGACTAGCTGGAATCTTAATTCTTCACCGATGTCTGTCTAGATTTCGTCCCCTTCCAAAGGATTGGTTCAAATTTAGCCTAAAAGGCAAGTGGTTATTTGACGTAGTCATCGGATGCCTTATGTTTCCGTTGGTCAATAGGCTATCCCAATTAAACCTCGATCTGCTACCTATTTTACCTTCGACGCCCGTAACTCTTTCGAGCGTTGAGCATTCAATCATGGCAAGGGATCCAGTAGCAATGGGGTTATACGCTTTAGTACTCGTAGTGTGTGCTCCCTTGTGGGAAGAAATAGTGTTCCGGGGTTTTCTTCTACCTTCCCTGAGTAAGTATATGCCTGTTTGGTGTGCTGTTTTAATGAGTTCGGTGGCTTTTGCTTTAGCACATTTTAATGTACAGAGAATGATTCCTCTAATTTTTCTTGGGGTAGTGATGGGTGTAATTTATGCACGTTCTAGGAATCTGCTACCATCAATTCTCCTGCATAGTTTGTGGAATGGTTTTGTATTCTTAGATTTGATGAAATAAAAGATCATTATGTTCTAAATTTCAGCTTAAACTATATCTTTCTTTTTATTTGATCAAACACAAGAGACTAGGAGATGGGTGCCCAACTGTATTTGAATTTGAGGGAGATGAATATTTAACATCTTATATACTTTCCCTCAAAAAAAAAAAAAACATCTTATATACTTAATAGGAGATGATCAAAGATAACGCCTTTGCTGGTTGTTTCTGTCTTTCTGGCAGATATTTTGTTTTTAAACGCAGCTTGACTTGCTTTCTTGCCATTTCGCTTATTGAGCTTGGAAGGAATTCACAGTTCTCATACTGAACTAACCAAGGCAATATTGTCATGATGCAAAATTGTGATCTCTACCCGAAGGGAAAAAGAAGGAAAGAATAAGAAAAAGCCTTAACTTGAAACGAGTGGAAGAACCCAAAGTAAAAACATGAAATTGTAAACCAAGAATGGTTGGACCGTTTAGTTCTCAAATCTCATTAATGGTTGACTCCTGGCAACTGTCATGAACAAAAAATTAAAAACTCAAAAGGCAAACATTATTCACACGCCATGCTGAGACACACAGGCCAAAGTCTCCACCGTGTGTACTCTTTCACCTCCTTTACAACAATACCAGGAAAGGTCTTTGGTGCAGGTGAAAGCTATTTATCAGTTGGGGGATACTAGGAAAATAACCATGTTGCTTCTTGAACTCTTCACGGACAGTTGGGTTCATGTACCAAGGTTTCCTGGTACCCGCTTTCGCCGTTTCAGATTCAGAAGGTCATCCCGGGCAATGTTTCACCTCCTTTACAACAATATCATGAAAGCTGCTGTTGTGGTTGGGAAAATAACCATGGAGCTTCTTGAAATCATCATAGAAAGCTTTTTGAAAAGATCCTGACTGTTTTGCTATTCTTCTCCACCTCCTTTGCAAACTGTTTAGTACAACCTTCTTCAGGGTTTCGGCAAGGTTTGTTGGAGTTGGTGGTAGGCAAGCCATCCGCCTTAGAGGAAATCTTTCTCTTGGCCAAACCCTAAAATGCTTGATCCAAAGGGAATAGAACCCTAGTAGGCAGGATTCTAGGTTATTTCCCATTGACTCAAACCAATAAAAATTAGTAACAACTCAAAGTTAAAATCTGCTGTGGATATGGAAACACTTCCACATGGTTTGCTTAATCAGTTTGAATTTGTTTCCTATGTTTATAATTAAACGAAAATTATTTGTCCAGAGACTTCCGCAAAGGAGAATTTGGTTTAGGATATTGGGTGTAATACCAGAACAAATAAAATTAACCAACGTAAATTAGGAATTGGATTTAAATAAAGTAGTATTGGCTTGAGGGCCACGAAATTTCTATATAAAAACAGATGACCGGGTCTGATTTTTTATACAAACCTAAAATCTTGAGAGACGAGAAAACAGCAGTCATCGGAAAAGCTCCAGATTCCAAGTTACAGATCAAAGCTTCGAAACCAAAGAACTCATCAACCTCGACATGATGAAATCATCCGAAACAGAGAGGGAGGATTCCAAGATTATACTCTTGGCGAACGGAGTATCGGACGATGGAGATACTTACCTGAAAATCCCGAAATTCTACACCATAAACCTGCATTTATTGGAGGGGATGATGATGAAAGCCACCGAGATCGACCTTCAGCTCCCAGCCGGAACTTGTATCAGCGGAATTGAAGGCTGGTGCAATGGTCTACTCTGTTTGAGTTCTTCATCAAAAACTGACCTTTTCTTGTCGAACCCGACAACCCGCAAGCATTGGCAGTTACCATCCCCCCTTCCTAAGAAGAAGACAGAGAGTATAATAAGCCCAAGTCAAGAGATTTGTGTTTATGGTTTCGGGTACGATGGAACTGGAGATGATTACAAGGTCATACGGGTGACAGAGGATTACTTAAACCAGGGGATCGGCGTCCTGAAGCCAATCTCGCAGGAAGTTCAGGTTTATAGCCAGAAATCCAATTCTTGGAAGCATCTTCCACAATTTCCTTATTTCATCGGAAATCGTCGGTGGCCTAATCCCGGAAAACTAGTTAACCATGCCCTCCATTGGGTCATGGAGGATTCGGATGACGATGTCATTGCGGCCTTTGATCTCAGAACAGAACAATATCATACCGTTCCGCTTCCTCCTGAGATTGTGGAACGAAAAGAATCAGCAAATCCTTCATCAAAATCACCATCATGGCCGTGGATTTTGGAGGTTTTAGAAGGCTTCCTATGCGTAATGAAGAGACAGGATTCCACAACCTTAAATCTGTGGATAATGGAAGAGTATGGTGTGAAGGATTCTTGGACCGAGTTTGTGTTCCAGAAGTTCCCAAGTGTGGTGTGTCCGAATCCTGTTCCTATATCGATATCGAATTCCCGCAGAAGAAAGGGTGAAATCTTCTTTCATGACAACAGATATGTGTTCAGTTATGATGCAGAGAGCCAAATGCTTCGGAAAGTCGTCTTCTTTCCATCATACATCGCGAGCAGTGGATATCCGTTGATTAGCAGCAGCCTAGTTCAACCTGGACCTAGTTGTTGATTTTCTTTCTTTTTTTTTTTTTCACTTTTCGTTCAATTAATAAGTATTGATCACCATTGGGTGTCAAATCATGATTGAGCCTGATGTAATTGGAGTAGCGCACCCATAGCGTGGTGTTAATTTCAATTTTAAGCCTTTGCCTGCTTGATACCTGTGTTGTGTGTGTGTGTGTGTGTGTTAGTGTGTTTGGTCTTTTCCACTGTTTAACTTAGTACTTTTTGCCTCTTGGTAGTTTTTGTGGCCTTTTCGTCTAATAGTAGACATTAGTCAACAACATTGCAGACTTCTCGGTTCCCAAATAAACAGAGGCCAAAAGAATATCGTACTTCTGCAAGCTACAAACAAAGAAATTGTTCGAAGCAATAATTAGGATTTAATTTAATTTCATAACCACCATGATCCCGTTTACAATTTGATTTGATCACTAGCCCTTGACAATTTACCATTTTGGTAATCATCTTCTGATCACACAAAACTCAACATTTCACATCTCCAGCGAAGGCATTGTGGTGGAGGATATTCGGTTGATTTCGAAATTCGTTGCAATTCACAACCCTATAAAGTATTGTTTCAAACTTTGCAGCATTGAAATCTCTGGTGTAATACTCAATTGATTGGTCCAAATCTTTCCGCCATCGTTAGGAGCAAAGTTGCAGCTAACTTATGGCAACTTCTGGCGGTTTTTCTGCTCCTCCCTTGGTGCCAGGAATTTTAATTCTGGCTTGGCCTGGCTTTCAAAAGCAGAAACTTCCCCTGTTTGGGTGGACTATCTGCCTATCTTTTAACAAGCCGAGTTAAAATTTCCAAAGCCGCCACCTTCTTCCGAAACTTTCCGGGTTCCCCAGGAAAGTTCTTTAGGTGTTGGATTTGCCGATTTGGTGAAAGGTATGGAATGTTGGGACGCCATTCTGGAAACGCTTGCGTGTAACAGCTACAAAGTACAGAGCGAAGACGCAATACTCATCCGTCCAATCAAAACAGTCCACAGTGCAACTTGTAAATTATACTGTTTTTAATACAGTATGGACTATTTGACTAAATCACATAAAACATCCTGCACATTTGGGCGAAAAATTATTTTCGCCCTGCACATTTCAAAACGCTCATTTTCATCCTATTTCATCAAAAAAATATACTTTTTTGACTATTTACGTCCCAAGTTAACTTTTTGTCCAATGACCGTCTGAATACAGAGGTATTTTTGTCTTTTAGTCCAACTTTTGGTTTTGCATTAATTAAGAAATAAAATAATGATTAAATAAAAATAAATTAAATTAAAATTATTTTTAAATTCAAAAAAAAAATCAAAAATCCCAAATACACAAATTTTGGCTCCATTTACCATATGGGTCTGTTAAGCACACAGTAAACCTATAAGGTAATTTTTTTACAGCCAATAAAATTAAATTTTTTTTCCAAAAAAGCCACAAAACGCCGGACTTTCTCCTTCGTCACCATCTTCAACCCCAACATCTTCGCTGCCTTCTACTACTCCATCGCCACCATCAACCACTCCTCCTCCGTCGCCACCTTCAACCACCCCTTCTCCTCCTTCAGGTAGTCCCCATCGTCGCCATTAGGTGGGAATCAACGTGGGAGATCTCCACCGGCTCTTGGCAAGTCTCCGCGTTTTTCATCGAACCCAAACCCGTCTTCTCCTTCATCCAATGGTGGCGGAGGCGGCGGGGTGTCCTACGTTTACTCCGGCCGTCTCGACAACGCAAATCGCGTCTTCAACCAAACCCGAAATCCGAGTACGAATCTTTGGAATCAGATTAGAGGGTCGAAGTCAAAAACTGCATAAATTTGTGAAATTTTTCCGTGCAATGAGAAAATCGGAAAGTGTTGCCCGATGGGTATGCGTTTAATTACGTTGTATGTGGTGTTACTAGAGGAATTTTGTTGAGTGAAAGAAGGATGGTTAACGGAAAGGTTTTGAGACATGGGTTCTGCACTAATGTGTTTGTACAAACAAATATATTGATTTTTTACTCAGGTTGTGAATGGGAGAGTGATGTTTGGTATGCCCAGCATCTTCTTGATGAAATGATTGAAAGAAATGTTGGAATATGGTTTCTTGGACAACTACGATTGATGGCTGTGCAACAAATGGGAGGTTCAGACAAGTCCTCGTGTTATTTCATCAAATGTGTAGACCTGGTGTGGAATTTAATCAGGTGACTTTGGTGGTGGAAGGTGATGGGGACAACGTGAAGGAGGAGAAGGGGTGATGGAAGGTGGCGACGAAATAGAAGGAATGGTCGAAGGTGGCTCTGGAGTAGTCAACGGCGGCGGAGATGCTGGGGTTGACGATGGTGGCGTTGGAAGATGGTGGCGTTGTTGTGGCTTTTCCAGCTAAAACAAAAATAATTTTAATTTCGCTGTAAAAGAATATTACCTTATAAGTTTACTGTGTGCTTAACATTGGGACCAACACAATTAATAAAACAAAAATATTTTGAATTTTGAATTTTTTAAATTTAAAAATAATTTTAATTTATTTTAATATTATTTAATTATTATTTTATTACTTAATTAATGGGAAACCAAAAATCAGGCTAAAAGACGAAAATACCCCTACATTTAGACGGTTATTTGGACTGAAAGTGTATTTGGGATGGAAATTGTCAAAAAAATTACATTTTTTTAGACAAAAATGGGACGAAAATGAGCGTTTTAAAATGTATAAGATGAAATGATTTTTTGACTAAATGTACGGGACGTGTTTTATGGTTTAGTCGAACTATTTTTATGGAACGGAAGGAGAAAATCGTTTGAGACAGTGCCATCAGAGAATTCCCCGTCGAGGAGCCGCATGTCTGTGTCCTTGTTACAGAATGATACTAGTGATCCGTCTGTTTTTTGTACATGATGATATTTGAGTATTGAGTACTTTGTGGCCTAACAACTGCAAACAGTGCAAAAAGATTTGATCACAGCCAATTCTGTCACAACAGTAGTAGATATTGCTTCCTAATTGCCTCATGAATCATGATGTAATTGTTTCGTTTTAGACACTTTTATGGTAGTTCATATGTTTGAGAGTTGCATGGAAATTGTGAGTGATTTGGTATAATACACCACATTATAACAAAAACCAGTTTTTATCCAAAATTTCAATTGTCAATCAATCCTTAAAAGTCACCTCTCTACACTCAAATCCAAATAAGACTTCTTTTTGGGAAAAAAAAAAAAAACTTTGGGTTTAAATTGAATTCTCCACGATCTCAAATAGCTAATTGTAACTACCTACTCAAATCTTTTTCAACGTTAAAATCTCCTTCAATCCCAAATTGCAATAATCGCTGCAATATTTCACCAGCCTCAAATTCCTGCCTCTTCACAAATAAATCTTGATAGTGAAGATTGAAGCGGCCGTCTACTTCTGCCGAGTTTCATTGGCCACCGAAGACAATAAATATGCTGCCCAGATCTAAAACCAAGCGAGCTCGGTAAACTCAATCATTGTTTCAATTATTAAGTTGTCGACACTTTAAATTGTTGTTGTCTGACTATCTTACAATCATTGTTCATCACAATCGTTGTCGACACTTTAGATTTGCTGTTGTTGTTTATGATTTCTAGATAAACATCTCAGAATATATCAGTTTATTTCAAGGTTGGAGTTTGAATAATTTTTCCATTGCGGTTGTGTTTGGGTAAGTTTTTATCTCAATGAGTTGTTATATTTTTTATAGCTGGATACATGTTTAATATATACAGCTTGAGACTAATTCCTTAAAGTCATACTCAATGCCGGTGTTAATTTAAAATTATTTGTTCCATCAATAGATGAAGGCATGTAATCCAGATTGCTTCAAACCCGTTTATAAATATTAAAATTGTATCTTTTCTTTTATAATGACAATAATGCCAGCAATTATCTTTTGTTAGAACTCCATATGTGGCTAATTGCATGTGTTGTATAAATATTCTATTTTTATGCCTTGATGGGAACAAAATGGAAAAGCTAGCAATTAAATTTACCTAAAATACACAGCTCAATAGAGAAGTTCTATTTTTTTTACATGAGCCTGCGAGATTGTAATTGTGTGACTTCTCTCAGGGGTGGCTCTCCCATTAGGCAAAATAGGCCATCGCCTAAGGCCCCGGAATCGGAAGGCCCCCAATATATATATATATATATATATATATATATATATATCCCAAACGTTTACTCCAGTGTGCTAATTCATCCCAACGTTTTAAAATTGATCAATTACGTCCCAAGGTTATCAAAATTGAACAGATACATCCCATGACCTGCAAAACATAAAAAATGACCTGATATAACAGGTAAAAATTCTATTGGATCTCATATTTATTATTATTTTTCTGATTTTTTTTAATTTTTTGGTCATTTTTTAGTTCATTAAAAAACAAACTAAATTTCTATATTAAAAAAACTCGAAAAAACTTACTTAATTAATCAAAATAATTTATGTATCACAAATGAAATAATTTATGATTTTTAGTTTCTCCATTTATAAATGTTGTTTTTGTTTCAATAAACTAAAAAAAAGTTTAAAAAACTCAAAAAAAATAGAAGTAAAAATGTTAAATATAGGATCCAAATGATTTTACCTGTTATACCAGGTCACTTTTGTTGGTTTGCAGGTCATGGGATGGATCTGCTCAATTTTGATAACTTTGGGACGTAATTAACCAATTCTAAAACTTTGGGATGAATTCGCTAGTAGGATATAAACGTTGATATGTATACACTAATATTCCCTTATAAAAAAAAAAACTTAAAGCTTATAAATATTGACCAATTGTAGCCTAAAAAAAAACACTCAATATTTATTGATTCACGTGTGTTTTATACTTTAGAATAATAGGGAAAGTAATTAAGTAAAATCAATAGTGGTTTTTTTGTGGTGATTTTGCCACAATAATTTCTAGCATCCAGTGCATATTTTTTCATTTTTTTCACATCTGCCCTCGTCAACTTCTTTATTTTCCTCTCTCCCCCATCTCTTGCTCAATTAACTCTTCTTTACAGTCTTTCTGTCATAACAACGCTATCAATTTCCCTTCAAAAAACTGATTATTTTATTTATATAGTTGATAGAACTATCTAATCACTACAAACTAGATTAGAAAATTTTAAAATGTACGAAAATATTTTTGGTTTTCTATTTAGTTTGAAAAAATTAAAATCACTTGATGACAAAATTTAGAAAAAAGTTGTCTTAACCTTCAAAACTCGTTAACACACAATGATAGTTTAGATATTGATGGTTTGGATTTATTGTATGAACTAAAAATTTTAAGAGAAAATGTAAATGTTGAGAATAATAATCCAATAGATATACTTAATTATATTAAAAGACTTAATTCTTTTCCAAATGCTTATATTGCTTATAGGATAATGTTAATTATTTCCATAACAGTTGTTTATAAGAAGTTTTTCAAAACTAAAAATAATAAAAATTATTTAAGATCAACAATGCCACAAGATAGATTAAATGGATTGGCTATTTTATCAATAGAAAATGATTTACTGGAAGAGATAGATCATGAAACTTTCATAAAAAAATTTGCAACCAAAAAAGCTAGAAAAATAAATTTAATATAAGCAATACTTTAAAAAATGCTAGAAAGAAAAACTTAATATGAATAATATTTGGAAAAAACTTTTATAACTCCGCCTGCTATAAGCTCACGGGTTTATAGTTGCCGGTCCTAAGCCCGAAAAAAGGACGAGGGTTAAATTTTTTTTTCTTTTTCTTCTAGTTTTTTTATTATTAAAAGGTCCCAATTTTAAAACTCGCCTTAGGCCCCCCAAAAACGTTGAGCCGCCACTGACTTCTCTGATAATCTTTCTTGCTGATAAAATTAGGAGGAAGAAGAAAGGAAGTGTGTGTTTGTGTGAGAATAGGTAAAAAAAAAAAAAAAAAAAGATGGCATGGTAGAAAATCAATTTTGCTATATTTGCGCTGATTTTATGCGTAAAGGATCAATTTTGTGTCAACCTTCTGTATGTTAGAATCATATATGCTCTTATACACGACATTTATTATTGTCCACATTAGGAGTTATTTATTACAAAAGTCTTAGTTTTTAGTGTTTAAAGTTTAAGTATGATGCACTTGCAGATACATTTGTGAGAAAAGATACTGCAGAGATCCTCTTTACATCTTTTTGACATGAAAGCCAAACTACTTTAGTTAAAGGCTTCATAGAAACCAAACACATGAACATTGTGGCCATGAAATCTACAATTAGCTCCTTATCGGAAAAGTTTTTCCCTTTCAGTTCGTATCGTCGGTTGTCTACAAACATGCAGGAACCATTTTTCCCCATCCCATTATTTTAGTATTTCCTAGAATGGTTGCTCCATGTATGTAATGTGAAATTTGAAGAATAGAAAGCTTTGATGCATGTGGAAAGCATGGAACGTCTTATTGTATTTAAACCACCTCTGATGAATGGGAATGCAGTAGGTTGTATAGTTTTTCCTTTTTCATCCTTTGTTTATCTTTCACTATTTGGGTTGCTTTTTTAATTATAGTTTGCATACCATTCTTTTAATACAAGGTAGTAGTAGTTTATATAATACTTTTTTGTTCCAAAAAATAGTCCTATGGAATTTTGAATTTTGTACTATTTTTAGTACAAATTTGAAAATTTAATTGGACTTTTTTTTTTGGTTAGAGTGTCATTGACATAACTAAATAACATAGCACAATCTATTTGAAAGTGTTTAGTCCATTTTGTATCCGTGCATTTACACGGGTCGAGAACCTAGTTTATGCTTTATAATGAAGCCGGTTTGGGGAAGTTGCAATTTTATACCGATTGATGACTAAAGGTGCTCATAGGCACATTGACGATTTATGGTGAAATTGAATGTTTTAGTCAGAAAAGGAAAAAAAAAAAAAACATCACACCATGGACTCCTTATAAAAACTATCAACAAAAAGTTGTGGTCTTGTATTTTCGATCACATCTCAATATATTTTTACTATTATAGACACGTTAAGACTTTTTTATTTACTTTCCAACAAACACAACTTTCACTTTTTTACACTAACAGTAGATGGATTATCTTATATCTAGGATGAATAATATATATATATATATATATATATATATTATTCTTGGATCAAGTTCCCGGTTGTTTTCATGACATGTTCAACTTTGCTAAAATTTGATTTTATATTAGGCTATCCTGTTCTTATTATTAAAGATTATGATTAATAGTACTTGAGGAAAGATTTAATTTAGTGATAATTATTCTTGAAAAATTATCAAGAGTGATTATCAGGAGTAGTTTTTATCTAATAGTGTGTTAGTTTTTATCTAATAATGTAGAATGCCTATAAATATGGCATTAGTTCTTTATTTTAGAGATTTTTTTATCTAATAGTATATTAGTTTTTATCTAATAATGTAAAATGCCTATAAATATGGCATTAGTTCTTTATTTTAAAGATAAGTCAATCACAATGTAGTCATTCAATTAATTCACCTGTTGGTTCTCTTTTATTGATGTTCTTCATATTTTATGTTTCCTCTTCATATTTTATTTTTTTTTCTTGGTATTAGAGCAGGTTTCGTCCTGTTTCTGTGCCATGCTTCTGTTTGTTTTTTTCTTTCAACAAATAAATCATGATTAGTTCAGTCATGAATATCAACAGTTGTGTCATGTTTTAAATCTGAAATCCCAAATCACTTCTCTTCTACTGCTAATCCCAAATTCTAGTTTGATTCTCCCAAGAATGTCCATAATCTCCACAACTCTTTCACAAATCAATCCATTGAACCATAATTTTTTATTGTTCTTTTTTTCTTTCACAAATCAACTTCAATTGATCCACAAATTTCAGACAAAGAGGAAAGATACCTCTGAGTCACACTACAAAATTTTCATTATGACAAAAGTCAGATAAGAGAGTTTTGACTTGTCATACAACAATCTAACATTTACAAAAATTTCCAATATGGCAAGTGTCATCTTCTCTCAAAGGAAGAGTTTTGACTTGTCATACCACAATCTAACAAAGTAACAAAAATTTCAAGCAAGTCGTCTAAAACATGGTCAGAATCACTCAAGACAAAGGATCGATGGTGATCTACAAGTTTTTCACTACTCATGTTCCGAAGGATGAGAAAGCCGTCAACACAATCAAAGCAAACTGAGTTTCCAACCCCTCAAAGCAAACTGAGTCTCCAACCCCGACTCAGTTTGAGGGAGAATATTAAAGATTATGATTAATAGTAGTTGAGAGGAGATTTAATTTAGTGATAATTATTTCTGAAAAATTATCAAGAGTGATTATCAAGAGTAGTTTTTATCTAATAGTATAGTAGTTTTTATCTAATAATATAGAATGTCTATAAATATGGCATTAGTATTTTATTTTAGAGATAAGTCAATCACAATTTAGCCATTCTATTAATTCACCTCTCATTTCTCTTTTATCAATGTTCTTCATATTTTATTTTTCCTCGTCATATTTTATTTTTTTTCTCCTATGTCATATGTTCAAGAAGAATTAGTATATTTCACTAGGGTAAGTATGTTTGTTGTTAGGACGTTGGAAGACAAATATTTGCTTCCGATAAAAAAATTTCGGTTTCCATCAGATACAAGTCCTTCGTATCTCAAGAGTATAGGAAAGCCATTGATTTGTAGTCTTGTTAATCTTACTCTCCTAAATAGTTGACTTTGTCGCTTTATTTTTTTTTAAAAAAAATTGTCGCTTTGTTTGAACTTTGAAGTATGTTATAGGTGGGTATTTTTTAAAATAATAATGTGGAATTTTTCTAGAGATATCGAAAAGTTATAATATATGTCACGTGTGCACTTTTTTTACTCATTTTTTACAACTCTATTAATCTTATGATCCCGTAGCATACTTGTTCTGAAGAAAAAATGTAAGATGCATATACGTTAAAGAAGCAAAAAATTAGATCAAGATGATTGCATTCAATTACTAATAATCTAATATCGATATGTAGCTAGCCTACAACAATAATACCATTTGCAGATGTTTGTTGGATTAAAACCAAAAGAAACAAAACAAAATGTCAGAAGTGGGATTTGAACCCACGCCCTCTCACGAGGACCAGAACTTGAGTCTGGCGCCTTAGACCACTCGGCCATCCTGACGTCTTCGCTCAGTGTATGTAGAAAATGCAATATAATAAATAATTTAAACTGGATGAAAATATAAGAATTAACCATTACTAATTGTCTCTTCGGGACCTACAATAAATTGGAACCATTACTAATTTAAATATGTAATGAATAATGCAAAAATTTCTATTGACAACCCATCAAAGTTTATTGGAAAACAAATTAGGAGACTTAGTTTTTATACCTATTTCTTCTTATAGTCGAGAAAGTCGTCACTCGTCAGAGATAAAAGAAATAAGGTAGAAAATTGTGCGTCCTTTAAAAAAATAAATAATAGTAACATATTTTATGGATCATTATTTTTTAAAAGAAAGCTATATTATCTCATCTCCATCAAATTATTTACCATACGAATGCATTCCTTCTTTTACCTTTTCATTAGTATCTCTATAAAGTTAAAATCAAACTAGCTAAATGGGTTTTCTTTTTCCTCTTAAAGTCCCTTCGTCTTTTTGTAGTATTGTTAAGATCCATCTCATTATATTCTGAAGACCTTTAAAATTTTACATTTACCATTATAAGTACGCGATTCTTTGTTCCATAAACTTTTTTCATAAAAAGGGAGGGACATTGTAAGTAATTACTCAAAAATTGATTAGATTACTGAGACCTATAATAATTTAATCGCCTGAATACCAAGTTGAGATAATATTCCCAAGCTATTTTCTTGAATCAACAACTTTTTATTAAATTATATATATACATAAATAAAAACACATGATAAATCGATCCACGAGAGATGAGGAATCAATATGAAGGAATTAAATATCGCAAATATAGACAATATTAACCAAAAAAAAAAGTTAAAAACTATAAAATATTTTATTATTATTCTATGATTAAAAGGCATATAACCTTTTCGCAATACACTTGCAGGGTTGCAGAAGAAAACTTCTTTATGGAATCTTGCTTGAGATCGAAATAAACCTAATACAACTTGATTAGGAAAAGTAGCTTAGTGGCCTGCCGGAGGTTTAAGCCACGGTGAGATGGGAAAATGGCCGGGAATATAAGGTCTCATCCATGGTCGGTGGGGGAACCAGCCAGCAGTTTGAGGTTTCATCCATGGCGGGATGGGAAACGGGCCGACAGGATGAGCCCACCATTGTTGGATCTCCTTGAACCAATCTTGGAGCATTTGAGTGATTTCATCATCATCAGGCGCATAAGGAGATGGGTCCGGGGCATTCGGACCAGAACTTCCATCTGGTTCCGGCCATGAAAACGGCGGCACCGGTGACGGAGACGTTGGAGGTTCGGGTTTCGGAGAAGGGTTTTTCCATGGAAATGGAGGAAACGGGTAACCTAACCATGGTGGATAACGTAAAATCCACGGAGGGGGGAGAAAATGCCGACTGATTCCCGGACGAAGCCACGGAGGGAACCATATTGGACGATGGTTTAGACCTATTTTAATTTTTGGATCTTCTTGAAGAAGTTTTCGAGCTTGAACAAGGTTGAGACAAAAGGCTAGAGAAATGATGAATAAAAGTGAGAATAAAGTTGAAGTCTTCATTTTTTATTGAAGAAGTTTGGGGCTGGAATGCATTGGAGTATCAGGGAGTCTTTATATAGTAGTTCATGCCTGCATGCATGAGTCATATATGATCGGATATAGTTTTTAAATTTAAAAATTATCTTCATGGATCAATTATTTTGAATGTTTGAATTTGATTTCGAATTGAGATTTAAATGATATGTGAATGTATTGAATTTGAGTTAGATGATATATGAGTCTTTAATTGTAATTTGAAATTGATCAAGATTATCTTAAGAAATTAAGCATAGGAGGAAAAAAAGAAGGGCGGAAAAAACAAAAAAAAAAAAAAAAGAGAAAAAAAAAGATAAAGATAGTAAAAGTTAAGGGCGGAAAAAGGGGGAACACAAAATTGTTTAATAGTAGTGCCTTTGTTTTGTTTTTTTTTTTAATTTCGTTTTTTTATGTTAGAGTGAAATTAGCAACTTGCTAAAGTACTAAATTACTCCACCTTTTATTAACATAAAATCTAAACCGAATTGTGTTTTAAGTTTTAACCACATAATAAATGAGGTTAAAAGTACGACTTGTTCCAAAATAATTAGTCACAACGTTCCGGCCTTCGTATGCATGTCAAATTAATCATGTTTTAATCATTTTCTTTTCTCTTTTTGTTCTGGGGCAAAATTTTGTCCAAAGATAATATGGGAAGTTTCTGGATCAATAATAAAAGAGGGTTATCCAAAAAAAAAAAAAAGTTAAAGAGGGTTAAATTTTAAGAATTGCCGTCTGTTTTCACACAAATTACAAAGTCAGTAGTGTCATGTCTCACAACTAGAACTTACTCCACATAAAAGTAGTAAACTATTGTCGCAACTTAAATCGCTTAGCCCTAAGAATAGGTATATAAAATCAGTGTAGGATCAACTTTTTTTCTTTTAGTGATTTCAAAACAGGGGCTGTGCCGAGTCGGGAATAATAGAAGGAATGATCATGGTGAACTGGTTCATTGGTTGCTTAGTCTGTTTTGCTACCATATGCACTAAAATCTGCGTAGTGAAAGCTAAAGCAGTTGGGAGCAGCAATCGTGAAGCACAATATCGCAAGTTGAGGTACAAGTACATCTGTAAATGATTTTAAGTAATTTGTTTACTAGATGAAATTACTTCTCTTTTATTATAGACGACAATTTATCGAAATCTTATTTTGTGACTCGTAATTTTTTGTTTCTTTAAGAAGCAATGCAAATTTTGTGTCCATATCTTGTCACTATAACACTAAACCCTTGTTCACAATGTTGACTTGTTGAGGAGCTTAATCTCTTGTAGTTAGAAAGGACATTTAAGACTAATTAAAATAACTCGACTCACCCGAATTATTATACTCCTTCAGTCCCAAAATTATTATGTTGTTTGAATTTTCATATTTAGTTCAACTTGTACTAAAAATATAAACGCGTAAATAGTACATTTTTCTTCATTACTACTCTTCTATGCAATGAAATGATTTTCGACTTGGCCGGCCACAAGAGAGAATAAATTAAAATGCACAATAAGCTAAATATTCTTGGGCCTGCAGGCTACAGTATACACTGGCCTGTTTCTAGCGGTTTAAATATCCTCCAGCTTTGGAATTAGATGAAATTCATCGTGCTTTGTGCAGCCAATAGCCGAAAAGGTATGGAAGCAAAGATATTGCGCCCAACAATCGAAATGATGCCACCCTTTTCAGCCAATTATTATTGGAATAAAGCCATCATGCTATTCAGGCTAACCCGAGTAAGAAGCCCATTTCTCCAAGTTGCCAAACCAAATCATACTAATTTTATTTTATGTCATATTATTTATTTCCGGAGAATATTGTTTCAATTAATTCTCAGATTTATACTTCTTCAAAAAAGAAACAAAAAAAAAAAAAAAATTCTCAGATTTATGCACAATAATTTTTCTTTTCATAAAACAAGTTGGTTGAAATTTTTTTAACCATAGATGCATAATTGTGTGTCTAGGTATGAACCCAAATTATGATTAAACTGGTTCACTATCCCAACTAAGAGTTTAGTTGGTATTTTATTGCTGAAACTTGAAATTGGAAGAAATTTTTTTGTATGTACTTGCATCGTTGTGCAAATGGGCAACTTGAGAGTCTGCAATTTCCAAATTTCGTCATTACTTTTGTTCTGGTCAGATGGAGCCTGCATGTTGTACCAGAGATATACTGCTCCATCTGTTCCATTTCAATAAACTCACTTCCTCTTTTGAGATGTTTTAAAACTTAGTCCCACTTCAGATAATTAATTAATTTTTTCTATAAACTCTCTAATATACCTTTCCCACTTTCACCGAAATCAAAAACATTTAATTAATTTCAACTATTACTCTCTCATATCAACTAATAACTCACTAGTCATTAATAAGAGTGTAGTAGGAATTTTATTTAACATTAACTAAATAAATTATATTAACCAATTTTTCTTAATTTCCATGTATGTCTAAATAGACATATTGAATTGGAATGGAAGGAGTACCTCCATTTTTACCTATAAGAGGTTTTTAGACATACTTTCTTCATTCCTTTTTATAAGAAGTTTTACATTTTCAAAAAGCATTTAATGACTTTTTTCCTTTCTTTACCCTCACAACTAACCAATTTAAATATTAATTAAACTCCTTCATTAATGTTATCAAGGACAATTTGGAAAATTTATATCAATTTTGAGAGAACAAACTAAATTTTGTTAGTTTTATTGGTTTGTGTAAAGTCAGTTAACTCCGTCTTATAAATAGGAATGGAGGTAGTATTTCCGATACACATCTTCCAAAGAACAATTTGCATGTCACGGGAATGGGGCACAAGCATTTCGTTGAGTTCGTTTCCTCAATTTAATTTTGAAGATCAGTCTAAACTTATATTGATCCCACTAAAATGTGAAAAGGAAAGTCTAGTCTAGTTCCTGTCTTGGCCATTAAAATACTTATAATAAAATGAACATCTTAATGTATTGAAAAAAAAAGTTCATCACAATTTACGAGTTCTAATTTCTCTCTTATCAACCAAAATTAATGGATTATATTTGGATAATAATATAGCAGAAAATTGTAACTTTTTAACTGCAAGGCCATTTACCACCGTAACCTGAAATTATCTCCGTACACACCTCTTAGGATACTTGTCCTTACTCCTTAGTGCCAGATTGATGATGATAATTGAGCTGATCAAAGTCAGAATACTGTTTCGTTTTCTTCTTCTGGGTTCAGCTAATTTTCCAACCCAAAAGAATGGACAATATCAGGCAAAGATCCTTGTCCGGTTGTCCCAAACCAAGTTTAAAGCCTTCAAGCCATCAATTTTAGAACACAGGCTTTTTAGAAAATCAATCAACATTTGTCCGAACACAGCATTTTTCACTTTGCCAGAATTAGACATTCAACAACTACCCTCCTCCATCATTTAATTACACATTACAATAATTTCACGGTAATTAGTCCCACGAACTTTATGATTTGATTTCTAATACGATCATCAAAATTTACTATTGCATCGATATCAACATTCTTTAGACAACTTTACATAGTAGCACATGAAATTACTCTCTCCGTTCCAAAAAAAAAAATAGCCCATATTGAGTTTTGAGATTTGTACAAGTTTTAGTATAAATTTAAAAATTTAATGTAGACTATTATTTTTTTTTAGACGGATGGAGTATAAAGTAGTAATAAAAGGTCTATAATTTATCCTTTTTTTAAAAAACTAGTTCGTGTAAAATAAATAAATAGCCCTTTCTTTCCTTTCTTTAACTAAATGAAAAGCTTTTTTAAGAGATAATTATGAACTAATAATTTGGGGTCGTAATAATTTTATTCAATCCTCAATGATAATTTTTATTAATCCCATCTAGGATAAGGGGCAAAAGAGTAAAAGCAAGGCTCTGTCAACGGAAATTCTCATTGGATAAGTTGGTAGGCGTATCAGAAAATATCAGAGGAAAGAGAAAGTTGCGAAAAGGTTTGGGTGTAGGCTAGGATGAGAGGGTAACTCCACGTCGGGAAATCTCAGCCGTCAAGATGGACCACGTCATTCCCAAACGTGGGACCCAGAGACGATGATTCATTTCACTGGTTTTAAATTCATCCCTGGTTCCCGAGGCCTGAAATAGCGGGAACCGCCTTAAGACCATAACTAACCTCCTCCTCCTCCTCCTCCTCTTTCCCTCTCTCTGTTTCACTAGTTTGGTTCCCACCACCAAAGTACCACCATTTTTCCTTTCATTTCCGGCGCCTTCAGCCACCGTTTCTTTGTCGGAATTCTTTTCTGGACCTCTTATATTCTTCCCCTCCGCTTCCTTCCCCTACAAAATTTTTGTATAGATATCTGTCTGATTCTGCTTTTTAAAACTTTTCATTCGAAGAAAACTTTCTCGCCGGAGGCGGCGATTGACTCACACGCGCTTCGTGAATCTTTGCGGAGGGAGTTAAAAAGCTTGAACAGACAGCAAGGAAAATGACGGGGAAAAAAAACAGTATTACCGCTGAGGCACACGGACTCGCTCAGTGCGTGAGTTGAACGTGTTGTGGGAGAAACTGAGGGAGATCGGAGTCATTTTGGTTTGGATTTGGTTTGTTAGCTTTATAAAATAGCGAGTTGTAGCATTATTTGTGGAATCATATTATTTTACCTGTAGATTATTGTAGGAAATCCATTTGGATTTAAACGTCTAGACCAATTGTAGGTTATAAGGAAATTAAGTTAAATCATCCAAAGTAATAATCGTATAGAAACTATGATTTTGGAGGTAATATATTATATAAATTATCATATCTTTTGTGAAGGACGAAAGGAAACCTGAGTTTCTGGTTGTGTAGGGTGCTTGCTCTGTTTCTGGACAATCATTAGCTTCAGCGCTTTGTATTTGTGAGAGAGTGGGATTTGTTACTTTGTTAATTTTGGAAGGTAAGAGAAAATGGAGTCGAAACATTTGATGATGTCAGCTTTAGGTGTGGGGATAGGGGTAGGGATCGGATTGGCCTCCGGACAATGGACCAGCGGTGGTTCTTCCCCTGCCGTTCTCACGCCAAAGGTTATGGAGCAAGAAATGGTTAATCTTATTGTTGATGGCAAAGAGAGCAAAGTGACTTTTGATCAGTTTCCATACTATCTAAGGTAAAATTAACTCCATCATCATTATTATTATAATTCTTTATTGTTGTTTTGGTGATAGATAAAGGTTTCTGTGATGCAAGGCAATGCTTTTACCTATGCTGCTTGCCATTTAATTTCCCGGGAGATTTGAAAGGTGGAGATTTTATGAGTCGTTAATAGCATGCTTTCATGTTATCGTTCTTGGACGTTGTAATATCTTCTTCCGGTTAGAAGTTATGCAAAATGAGAATAAGGCTAGACATGTGATGGGATGATTGTTGCATCCCCCTACCATTGGGAATTTTTGCGATTTCTGTAGGTCTGTTTACATCCCCTTTCCTTGATATGATCTTGAGAAGAATGACGTTTTTCTTCGAGGATAAGTATCCACAACAAGATGGTGATGTTACTTTCCTAACTTGACTTGTGATTGTAGTTTCCTGTTTATTGGCTTGCCGTTTGATGCTCTTGATCATGGATAATGCGTTGATGACATAATCACATTCCGTGTGAAGCCAACTTCATATTCTCCTTGCTTTTCAAAATAATTATTACTACTACTACATGTAATGATTTCATCATTGTTAAGTTTTTTTGGAGACGGACTTGTGAAGATAGTCCTTTTCCTTATATTACTACTACATGACTTATGTGCTCACTGTTATCTTCGCTGGAGACCCGCTCGTGTATAGTATTCTGTATTTCTTGAAGTGCGGGTGTTTGGTGTTTCCTACTGATGTTCTTTCCTTGCTTCAAATGTCCTTCATAAATGTCCCCTTCTCACAGTGAACAAACGAGGGTTTTGCTAACAAGTGCAGCATTTGTTAATTTGAAGAAAGCTGAGCTCTGTAAGCACACTCGGAATCTGGCTCCAGCAAGTCAAACAATTTTGCTATCAGGACCCGCTGGTTAGTAGTTGGGGAAATCTCGTCTTTCCTTCTTTTGCTTGATATTTGGATTAATTAAGTAATGTCAAAATGTTTTTACAGAACCTTACCAGCAGATGCTTGTCAAGGCTTTGGCTCATTTCTTCGAAGCGAAACTGTTGCTGTTAGATGTTACTGACTTTTCACTCAAGGTGAGTTTTATGAGTTCTGAGTCATCAATAGCCTTTTTGAATCAAAGTAATATCAGATGATGGTTCTTGTAAGTAGCATATAATAAGCTTTCACTTCTGTTTCATGGTTGGATGAAACTTTACTTGCACTTTTATTATGGAAGCGTAGCATTTATTAATCATGGTGATTCCTGAACAGTATCCCTTTCTGTTTTTTGACAGATGCAAGGAAAATATGGATGTAACAATAAACAATCGGTTAGTTATTTCTACATGTCTAATAGGGCATTTGTTGAGTTTGCAGTTCCGGTTTATAGCAGGCATGGTTCAGTATTGTTTTTTGTCTTTTAGGGTTGACTAAGTCTTTCCTAACAGCATTTCTCATTCCTCCTTATTGTGCAGTCTTTCAAAAGATCTATATCTGATGCAACCCTGGGTCGAATGTCTGAACTGTTTGGATCAATGTCTGTACAAGAAAACAAAGGTATACAACTGGTTGGTTTTAAAGGGGCTGAATTTGCTCCTGTATTTATAATGTATGCTCCTGATGTGATTTGCAAATGAAGCACCTCAACTTGTTCAATTTTTCTTTTTTCACGAAACTTCCATCACTACCATAATAAATGCACAGACTAGAGTACTTCTTTGTTCACATTGCTGTGCTACACGATTTTGTATATGTGATTTACCGAATGTCTACTTATTGTCGCATGTTGAACTTCTCTATAACAGGAAAGCATCTTATCGGTCCATTGATCTTTTGTAATTTTTTTTTCCAATTGGGATCTATTGTTACCGCTCGTCTAGAAATCTTTGATTCTAATACCTAATAAGCATCTCAACTGATCACTTTCCATTCCATTCGTTTATAATTTCAATATTGAATTGCTAATTGTTGGTGGTGCAGGAACATTACGTAGACAAAGTAGTGGAGTGGATATGAGCTCAAAGTAGGTCCCATTCTTGATGTTTGACTGGAAAGTAGTCTGAATTCGAAGGTTAACTTAGTTCTCATTGTTTCTGTTCTTGTCTCTTCCTTAACGTTCAGGGCGACAGATGGCTCATTTAATGTTCCGAAGTTGCGTCGGAATGCATCTGCCTCTGCCAATATGGATAATCTTACAGCAAATAGCACATCTTTAAAGTCAGGTATTTCAGAACTATGTAAATTTGTTTTTACTTCTGTGATTATAAATGGCGTTCGGTGGGTTTTTTTTTTTTTCTTTTGACCTTGACTGACATGTTTCATTTATGATTTTTAAATATTTAGTTCATATCACCCTTGAGAATGTTTATACCCTTAACTTGATAGTTTTTACGATTTTTCAGCTTCTCAGCGCATGAGCAGCTGGTCATTTGATGAGAAGCTTTTTCTACAGACACTTTATAAGGTGCGGTGCTTGAAGCATGTCATCTTATTCACTTTTTTTACTTTTGACTGCAAGATACAAGAAGATCATTTGCTTCAACAGAAATGAGTTCTCTTTGAATATTCTCATTTTTTCTTCCTGTATGTATAGGTTTTAGCGCGGGTATCCAAAACCACTCCAATTGTCCTTTACCTTAGGGATGTTGAGCACTTCCTCTGCAAATCAGAGACAGTTTATGTCTTGTTCCAGAAAATGTTGAAGAAAATGAGCGGACCAGTGCTGATCCTTGGTTCAAGAATCATTGATGCTGGCACAGACTATGAAGAATTAGATGAAAGACTCTCTTCTGTATTCCCTTACAACATTGAAATCAAACCCCCTGAAGATGAGACCCATCTTGTAAGTTGGAAGACTCAGCTGGAGGAGGATATGAAAATGATCCATTTTCAAGATACCAAAAATCACATCGTTGAAGTGCTTGCAGCTAATGACCTTGACTGTGATGATTTGGGTTCCATCTGCATGGCGGATACAATGGATCTTAGTAACTACATAGAAGAAATTGTTGTGTCAGCAATTTCATATCACTTGATGAATACTAAAAATCCAGAGTACAGAAATGGAAAACTTGTTATCTCTTCCTCGAGGTAACTTCAGCTTATTTCATATTTAATTTTACAACGTTAGGCTTTGTATTTGCTGATTTGCTTTTTTGGTTTGGACAACTAGCTTGTCCCATGGATTGAGTATATTTCAGGAAGGTAAATCTGCTGGGAAGGACAGTCTCAAACTAGAAGCACAATCTGAGATACCTAAGGTTGTTTAGAGTTTACATTGTTCAATTAAGATTATATGTCTTCTACATGTGCTCAGTTGTTATCCTTTACATTGTTTTTTACGTATGCTTGACAGAAAGAAACTCCAGAAACAAAAACTGGAGCCAAAGGTGAAGCTGATACAACAGCTACAGCGGCAAAAGAGGCTGATTCTTCATCTTCAGGCCCCAAAGCTCCAGTAAGTGAAGTCGCTTGTAATTTTTCGCTCAGTTATTTATTTATTTATTTATTTTTATTTGAATTTGATTCTAGCAATTATTATTTTGTTACCCAAATTGCCCATTGAAAACCATGCGTTGAATTATTATGTTAATTAGGAATATTTTCAGAATCTTATCCCTGTAAAAAAAAATTGATTATGAACTATTATTGCTGGGTTGTTGGAAAAATGAAGAATTTTGCATATTTGGTTGTCAAATTGTACCATAAATATAGCAGAGCTAATATTACATAACCTACGCTACATGATTCCAATTATTTGGAAGTGGGAGGGACTCTTGGATATAAGTTTGATCCTCGCTGCGGAGGTCTTTCCAAGTATTTTTCTTGGTTAATTTTTTTTCTTTGTTAATTCGTATCAGGAAGTTCCTCCAGATAATGAATTTGAAAAGCGTATACGACCTGAAGTCATATCTGCAAGTGATATAAAGGTGACATTTGAGGACATTGGTGCCTTGGAAGAAACTAAAAAATCTCTTCAAGAATTAGTTATGCTTCCTCTTAGACGGCCTGACCTTTTTAAAGGGGGCATTTTGAAGCCTTGTAGAGGAATATTGTTGTTTGGACCTCCTGGCACAGGAAAGACCATGCTGGCTAAAGCCATCGCTCGCGAAGCTGGAGCAAGCTTCATTAATGTATCTATGTCAACTATCACATCAAAGTGGTTTGGTGAAGATGAAAAGAATGTTAGGGCCTTGTTCACCCTTGCAGCTAAGGTTGCTCCAACTATTATATTTGTGGATGAAGTTGACAGCATGCTTGGGCAGCGGTCAAGAGCCGGAGAACATGAAGCAATGCGGAAGATAAAAAATGAATTCATGACTCAGTGGGATGGGTTGTTGACACAATCTGGTGAAAGAATTCTTGTTCTTGCTGCAACTAACCGCCCGTTTGACCTTGATGAAGCAATAATAAGACGGTTTGAGAGAAGGTATTTGTGGACCTTTTCTGTTTTTCTGATAATTCTTTTGGCTTTAGTTGAGAATCCTAATCTGACACATGTCTCTGGGGATTTGTGAGCAGAATTATGGTTGGTCTACCATCTGCAGAGAATAGGGAAATGATAATAAAGACTCTTTTGGCAAAGGAAAAAGTTGACGCGAATTTGGATTTCAAAGAACTTGCTACAATGACTGAAGGATACAGCGGAAGTGATTTGAAGGTCCTGATTTTATTATTATTTTTTTTTTTTGAAAGAAACAAATTTATGACCAAAAAGCTTCTCTTCATTTTTTAGATTTTACTACCTGCTTCTAAAGGTTCTTTGATTTGGTATTATTGCATTACCCGAATCTGACATGGTTATTTATTATGAACAGAACTTGTGCACAACTGCTGCTTATCGACCAGTCAGGGAGTTGATACAGCAAGAAAGTATCAAAGACCTTGTAAGTAATTGTTAGAAATGGTTTGTGATATGATATGTTGTGAGCTTGTTGAATGTAAGAAACTGAACAAGTTATTTATGCATGCAGGAAAAGAAGCATAGAGCGGAGCAGCGAGGTGGTACAGGTTCCGGAGATGAAGAGGAAGAGAGAGTAGTAACTATCAGGCCATTGAACATGAAAGATTTTAAGGAAGCAAAACACCAGGTAATGAGCTCAACCTCACTGACACGTCCCAAGGAAAGAAATTATCCTGGAACGTGAGTTCTGGGATGATGATAGTTGCATGATAGGAAATTGAACATTGTTTATGCTTTTAATTATCTACATCTAAATGTGTTGGAACATACTTTGTTCGTGGAGCATGTTTGTGAAGGGTCAACTGTTTCTTAGGCATCCTGACTTAGTTATTCACGGCGTAATACTTTCGCCATCATATTTTAGGTTGCGGCTAGTTTTGCAGCTGGAGGGTCCATAATGGCAGAGCTGAAGCAGTGGAATGACTTGTACGGAGAAGGAGGTTCAAGGAAGACAGAGCAGTTGACCTACTTCTTGTAGGGAATAGGCACTAGGGTCATTGTGGAAAGTTGTTTGTCATACTTGCTTTGCCTCTACACTTGTGGATCTGTGTTACAAGACAGATCGGCAGAATTTAGTCCTAGTGGAAGCTTGTCTTTGGCTGTAGTTCCAAACCTAAAGAATGGAGGAGATTCCTTTCCACTCTTTTAGAGTTGATTAGTGTGATTCTGTTAATAGTTTAGATGGCGTTGTATTGAGCCTTTCAAGGCTTTAGCCAATAATCAAAGCAGTTTATTGCAACTTGGAAACTGTTACAATGCTGACTGCTGTAACAAAAACTATGCGCGTCTACCAAAACCTCACTCTACTGCTGTTTGAAGTCAATAAAAATGAAGAACATCAAAGTGATGTGTAAATATCTTCTGTTTTTAGAGGCAAATGGATGTTAACGATGATCAGTCTTCTTGCAGGGTTTCTCCGGCTTTACTTACATGTATCCATAAGTGCACTTGTTTCCTCTCAAATACTGTTTTAACGTGTTACCATCGTAGTTTACACAATCCAATTCTACCTTCTTGGATCTAAATTTTTTCCAACGTTTTGTAGTAGAGCTGATTATTGTGGATCTTAATTTCTCCCAACGTTTAGTAGTAGAGCTGATTATTGTATAGGTCAAAGGGTGCGACTCAAAACCGAGATATCTACACACATTCCATGTTATTAACTTCTCTGGTTTTTCTTATTCCAGACACTGATCCCTACAGACCAATATGGGTGTTGCCGGCAGACAGCAGAGCCAGAGGCTTTGTTGTAAAGCAATAACCATCATCAATAATCTAATACAATTAGAATACTGACTTTCATCTGATACAATTTTAAACTGTTCTCTTTCAGTACATCCGAATGCATGATTATCTCCATATATAAATCACATTAACATTGAAGAACAACGCAAGGAGGGAATAACCTATATGATGAGCCATCATTAATAATGTAATCCCCAATATGCATGCAGGCTCAAGAAGTGGCAGCAATATAACACTTTGCCTCGTTAGAAGCCTTAGAACCAACACAAATGAGAACTAAACAGCATTCATCAAACATCATACGTAATTCTATTCAAATTCTTTCGAAGAACAGCAAAGATAACCACGTCTCTAGCACAATTTCACAGTAAATATAGTTTAACCGTGGCATAAAACCTGTACAGGCCTACCCAAACTTGCAACAATGTGTTCCTTTATCAAACCATCCACCAAACATGAATACCAACTAAAACTGCACCAGAAGTTTCAGCAAATCATGGAGAAATGGCAAAAACTTCTTCAATCCCTCTTCTTAAGAGGTCCTCTTGGGACTTTACTTAGCACTTTTTCATCAAAAACAGCATACTGTTTCTTGAGCTCCGCGAAGGCTTTCTCTGCAAATGCATCTACTTGGTCCTCGTATTTGTCATACAGCACAGGGACTGTGTGGAGCAACACGGTAGCTGCTTCCAAAATCATCAACATCCATCATTAGTAATCCAATATTCTATGCGAAATAATGATAAAATATAGTTTCCAAGGTGTAAGACATTACTTATATACAGAAGGGTCAACAAATCACAGCAACTGCCCAGAATGGAAAAGAACCATAGCCCAGCTATCACCTGCTCCACAAAACCAATAATTACATCACGTATCCCTAGCTAGTGATCACTTCACAAGATCAATAAAAACTAGTAAGTCCTGAAGTAGAAGGGACGAAACATACCAAAAGGAACATTTTCAGATCCCTTCCCGAAGCAATATCCCTCAGAATTGCAAAGCCCTGATTAATTGCCAGCCTCAGATCAGAGGCAAACTGTAAAATAGGTTTCTCAGGCAGGGTAACTTCAGGAATTCGGGGTGGAGATCTGGCAATGAAGGAAATCATGAGTTAAAACAAACTGAACCCTGTACTAATCAAAAATTTCTTCTACTCCAAATACACAATAATTTCTTACTTGTTAATGAAACTGCTGGCATTGGACCACAGGAACAGAACAGCCAGAACAAGTATCAAACCATGGCAGAGTAAGGTCAGAAAGTGATATTCAATCACTTCAAACAGAACCCAGATGGCAGTGGCTACACCTAGAACTCCAGCAGATATCTTCTTGTTTCTCCACATAAACACATCAGCCGCTGCAACCACGAAGATAATAAATAAATAAACACCCATCAGTTAGTACCATTACACCTCCTTTTTTTCTTTCACCGGTGAAGCCCCTAGCATAACATGCAGCATAAAAAAGAGAATAAAGATATAAAAGAAAATCATTTTATTTGAGGGACCAGTTGATGATGCTTCCAACTACACTGCCCGGGGGCTTAAAAGAGATATTAAAAGGAATTCAACTTTCCAGCAACAAAAAATATACTTTTCCCACTAAAATTGATCAAGAATCCCAAATAATAATTATCAACATAACCCACTGGAGCTTTCTGTCATAATTAAAAATAAAAAATAAAATTTTAAGGAAGGCATATTGTTTCTTTGCAGTAACTAGATCCAGAACCAAAATTCCCAAACTCGAACTAAAATTGGTAAAACAGGGCAAGCAATATATGGGCACAGATAATAGTCCAAGATTACAGAAAACCATCAAAACCATCGAAGTGAAACTAAAGAATCGTGACACAGTTGAGATATAGAATATTATAATCGAATATAAACGGGAATAAATCGTTCTTCCGGTAACTATAATTTTGTACCCACAACCATAACCGAGAACGAAAAGCAAATCAAACCCAACAAGCGGCGTAGTAAAATATAAAACATACTCCGGGTAAATCCCAAAAAGAAACAGAAAAAGCAACAAAATTCCGGTGGATTAAAAAAGGGCAACTCACTTTTGCCACCGCCGAGGACTTTGTGAACCGGCTTCTCTCTGCCAAAGAGGCGGGAGACCTTAGCCTTGAAGGAAGAGCTTTTCTTCTTCTCCTTCTTCTCATCGTCTGAAGACGAGGACGAATCATCATGGCCGTGAATTTTCTCGCTAACTTTCTCGATCACAGATTCCTCCTTCCGCTCCTCCTCGTGATGATCATCATGATCCGCCATCTTCCCTTAATTTTTCTTTCAAAAAAAAATTCGAAAACCCACAAAAAATTATGCAATCAAGAGACAAAATAAATGATGATGATACAGAGGAGAAAAATATCAGTGTGTGAGTGTGTGTACTGTGAAGAAACAAGGCAAAGAAAAGGGGGGTGGAAGATTTTGGCGAAGAAAAAAGAGTGAAAAAATAAAATAAAACGAATGGCAATTATGTGATGGGATGAGTTTTTATGCGAGGGTGTGGCGCGTGACTTGGTGAATAAGATAGGCTTCCTTAGCTGGGTGTGGTACCGTGTGCATTAGGACTTGTACATTGGGTTAAAAATAGTTTGTGGGTCCAATATGTATTAAATCTGGGCCGTTGAGATGGTTATGATGAGCGATTTGATGATGATCTGAGGTTGGGTGTATGCTGTGTTACGTTGTGGTAGTAAGTAGTCTAGAACTTCCTCGAAACCCCGTGGGTAGATTATTAGAGAACAAGAAGGTATTAGGTGTGAAATAAAATTTGGCCTGTATGTTTTTGTTTTTTTGTTTTTGAATGGAAGAGTTTTCATTCATTCACTTTTGCTGAAAATCGTCCAGCTGCGTATGACAAAAAGTCGCAGGGATATGCGACCAAACAGAACATTCGGTATCACTATTCTTGGCTACAAATGCAAAATCATGAGCTATCTTATTTTCTGGTCGTCTAATCCAAAAAATCCCTAAGGGATGGGTTAAATGGATCAGACTATGAATGTCTTTCATCACTAGATCCAGTTGGTTGAGATCTTGGACGTCCTCTAACGCGGTCAAGACTGTGTTGATTGAGTCGCCCATGATCGAGAAATTCACGAGCTTGTATTCTTTTGCAAAGGATAGGGCTTCTCTGAGTGACAACAATTCAGCAATGCCCGAGTCTTGTATGCCTGGGAATTTCCTTGTTACTCCTCCAACAAAATTTACTGCAGCATCAGCACAACAAACACCCACTCCAGCACATTTGTGTAGCTGGGAAATTGCCCCGTCAAACCAGACTTTCGTTCCGTCCGAAATCCCTCCCAAAATTGGATGAGATTGGAGAGCACTCGACGTCCATTCTGGCCATAGATTGGCATTCAAGAAATTGTGTCTCATGCTGCCTGCCATTGACACTGTTTCTGCTGGAGCGATCAGCTCATTCTCATACAACGCCTTATTCCTCATGAACCATATATAATTCAGTATGGTAGCAACAAGTTCCACTTCTACAATCTCCAGCTTGAGGATTAGGGTTCGAGTCCATTCGCTCCCTCTGTCCTGCTGGTGTTGCTGGATCAAGGTGTCTAGCCTTGCGATTCGCCATACTGCCGAGGCAAAGGAACAATTGAAAAAAAGATGTTTTGTAGACAAGTCTGAGTTGTTGCAATTAAGATGTTTTGTGGATAAGTCATGTATGCTCAAAATTAAGAACACCGATTACAAATCGATACAATTTGTCTTTGTGTGCTTTTTTTCCCCCCCTCAAATGGAGATTAGTAGAGATATTGACTTATGTATTAAAGATTTGTAATAGTATTTTTTATTTTTTTTCGCCGGAACCCCATCAGAGATGGGTAAACCCAGACCCACTGTAATAGCCTGCAAACCACAGTGAGAGGTAAACCATTCTAGACAAGTCCGGGGTGATAAGCTCGGGTAAACCCACACCCGCTGCAATAGCCTGCAAACCACAGTGGGAGGTAAATCACCCTAGACAAGTCCGGGGTGATAAGCTCGGGTGCGAAATCAGGAGTTCATTAGTGGGTTAGTCATAACAAGCCGGCAAGTCCGGTGGGAAGTAAATCACCCTAGGCAAGTTCGGGGTGATAAGCTTGGGTGCGAAATCGAGAGTTCATTAGAGGGTTAGTCATAACAAGCCGGCAAGTCCGAAGTAACAAGCTCGGGTGCAAAACCAGGGATTCATTAAGGGTTAGCCATAACAAGCCGTAGAGGTGCCAATAGGTAAGGTTAGAGCCAACCCCTCACTTTTTGTTGGAGTAGGGAATTGAACTCATGACTAACTACTTTAGTTACTCTAACTACTCCAATAGGTAATTACCGCTTAACCAACTACTATTCGCTTATTTATTTATTTTGATTTGTAATAGTATTCATCAATGCATAGATAGCAAATGTCACTCAATCTACCCACTTTTTCAGTCAATGTAAATATGACTAACCGATGTTGGAAAAAACTTTAAACCTCCATTCTTCTTCGGATGGAGTATATATATGTAGAGTGGAAAGCAAGATCAAATGATTGTGACATCAAAGAAGACCAACATGGATTATAATAATCTAAGAAGTAGTGATCAGAAAAACTTGGCAATTAAGGAGACAAAAGATGGTTAAGGAAAACATTAATAAATAAGCTTAACCAGTAAGGATTAGAAGAAGAACGAAACAATGACAAATTTCCTTTTCTTTTGGCTAAATGGTCACAACACATGCATGGGGCAATTCCGGAGCATCCACGTATATTTTTTCCATCTTGTTTTTCTTCCACAAAAATAATACGTGGCTTACTAGAAAGTTTGATACACGCTTATTTTTCTTTTTCTTTTTTTTGGTTAATTTATTTATACACTTTCGTTGGTTACATACTAATAGTATGATCATCAAACAATGTGAATACTATTCATAAATTTTGTATTGCATGTCACATTCTTGCTCTGCGTAGTACGTACCTTTTCGGAAAAGAAAAATTCAGATTTTATATGTACAATACACTCCCTTTATGTTCTTGCTATAATACATTTTGATTTCTCTTAACTTTTATTTATTGTGTTTTTTAATTGAAAATAAAATTTTAAAAATATATTTATTGTGTTCTTCAAAGTATCATAAAATATGCTTAAGATTTCATGTTTACTTCCAAAAACACAATAAATGAAATATAAAAAATTAAAATATCTTATTTTTTTCTTATGCATCAATCACTTTTCATTGTGATGACTAAATTTAAAGAGTGCGTATATTGAATGAATAAAAAAAAAAAAAACAATGGATTCTGTATATCGTGACATTTGGTTAGATTTTAGGTAAGAATCTCAAAGAATCTCTCATAACCTGGGCCACCATTCATTTCAGACCACAAACTATTCTGAACTCCAAATATATGAGTATTTCTTTTTGTAAAAAAATGGGTTACTATGACGGTTCTTGTACAGCACACATGTCACCCTTTTGCCGGCCCACTCCACAAATTTGTCGCAATCCATCGCCGACACGAAGCCTCCTGTACTTTTTCAAACCTCAGGTAGTCAATCCCGACGGCCTTTTAAAGTCTCCGGCAGCTAATTCCGACAACGATTTTTTTAACCACTTAAGTAGAAATAATTCAGCTTATACACCATGGGTGATGGGTTCTGGATGACTGGCCTGTTTTAGTTGTCTTGTGTTGTGTACCTTAAGTGTTTGATGATTTGACTCTGTGAGTAAGTGGTTTTGTTGATGGACAAGACTAAAAGGGGGGAAACTAATGAGGATGAAATGGTATTTCCCTTTTGCTTTAACATTCCTTTTCTTTTTTCATCACGCACAGAGTTTTTCTACCCAATACTTGTGCATTCTGCTTACTTTCACTTCAATCTGCAATGGCGATGTGGATGATATGAGCCACCGTTGAAACAGTGGAAATGATCAGGAAACAGAACCAAATTCAATGGGTTTTCTCTTAGTACTGCTTTGATCATTAGGCCACCAAATTCTCCTCCGCCTTAACTACTCTTCCAAAGTTTGCCTTTGCATCCTTCCGTCATTGTGTTTACCACCATCTGTCGACATTATGATCATCGACATTGTCTGCAGAGTTTGCCATTATGATCGATTCTCTGTTTTCGTCTTGACACACCCTTTGTAAGCATAAGACTCACAGGAGGGCCAGTTGGCACCCCCGGACGACCAATTTGACAGGGTGATTTGGGAAGCAAAAAACACATTCTGATGCTTGCAAAAGCGAAACGTAGAGCCTGACGTGACAGGTTATTCGACTTGGCTTCATAAATCCATGTTGGATCGTGAGAAGCTGAAATGATGAAGGATATATGATGGGATTTGCCCAAATATACTAAAAGATACTCCAGTGATCAAATGCCTTTCATGAAGAGACTCGAAAAGCCGAATCATTGTTGGATGAAATGGGGTAGAATAGAATGGAGTCTGTCTTACTGCTGCGACTTATTGTCGTTTTTCTAATGGAATACAGAGGAAGAAAAAGATGTTGAAGGAGCACGTAATGAGATTGTTTACAAAATATTGAAGCAAGATTGTTCATAGTGTTTCAGGTGAGGTAAGTAGCTTTGTGACAAGAGAGATTTGGGTTGATTTGTGACAAATTTAGGGTTTGAGGGGAAAATGAAATCGACATGAAAGGGGAAAATTTTCTTATGTAATTATCTGGAAAAACATTAAGTAAACTGTACTGTATTTCCCTATTTATACTAATTACAAACACAACTGAATAAACTACCTGTTGACTAACATTGACTAGTATTTACAGTCTAGTCCTATAATTTACAAAACATGTATAAGCTAGTCCCTCTCATTTATAATCTAGTCCCTATCATTTACATACTTGGAATTACAGACTAATTTGGATCTCCTGGATCAAGTTCTTCATGACTTGGAACCTGCAAGTGATCCCGTAACTCGTATACCCCCCCCTCCCCCCTCAAGCTTAGAAGGACGATGCTGCAAATCATACAGTCCAAGCTTGGACAAAAGGAAAGCAAACTGATGATTGAGCAAAACTTTGGTGAAGATGTCAGCTGGTTGGAACTGAGAAGGAATATGATATAAAGAGATGAAACCAGCCTTGACCAAGTTACGCACAATATGGCAGTCAATGACAATATGCTTCGTGCGCTCGTGAAAGGTTGGGTTTTCTGCAATATGCAAAGCAGACTTATTATCACAACCAAAACTAATAGGAAGAGGGACATCAACCTGCAAGTCTGATAAAATGTAAAACAACCACTGAAGCTCACAAGAAGTACTAGCCAAACTCCGATATTCAACTTCACATGAAGAACGAGACACGGAGGCCTGTTTCTTGGTTTTCCAGAAAACAAGAGAAACACCCAGGAAAATACAAAACCCAGTCAAAGAAAACCTGGTAAGAGGACACTGTCCCTAATCTGCATCGCCAAAGGCTATCAGAGTGAGGTCGTTGGAGCTGGAATAAAAGAGACCTAAAGACGGGTATCCTTTTAGATATCTCAACACATGGGTGATGGCTGACCAGTGAACATCGCGTGGAGCACTGATAAACTGACTTAACT